TGAGAATTTTTGAACGCAAAGCTCATTCAATTATGGGTATCCTGTTAATTTGCTATTCTGTTTTGAACCTTACCAGAAAAGTAATATGTTTTTAAAACACAGCGAGTTACTGGCTGGTGTGATCGTTTGTAACACGCGCGATTGACAAGCTAGAACTCGGACCCTTTAGGCCAGAGTCTAACGCGCTATCACTGGGGTATTTTTTGCCTTGTTTTGGTTTTAGGAAGTTTACGGAATACCGAAGAGAAATGTAACTCCAGTAGGTATTGTTTAAATGACATTGGTAACAGTGGACATTTTTCCTCTCCAGTTTTTTTACGTATTATTTTGTATTTTGTCTTTGTTTTGCGTTTTTCTGTTGTTTTGGAAGCCCATAGTTGATGCAAAAGGAGAGGGTGAAACTCTCTGCTTGAGAAAAAAAAGGGTCTATTCTTAGTGAGCCAGAGTGTTGGTTTCACATTGTACGGAAATGTTGCTGCTTTTAACTCTTGTTGTTGTTGTTTGTTTAACATTCTGTTGCATGATGGTCTGATTCTTTGTTCAGGCCGAGCAAGACCCTGTTGCCGAGTTTTTAGTCGCAGCCAGCCCAGCAGGTATGTAAACTCTATTTCACTGATCGTGTATATTGCTTGATTGATCAGTTTTTTTACCTTGAAACCCTGATATAGTTGTGCATTTTCATCAGGGGGTGAATTTTGTGTGAACCATGCGTGCGACAAAGTTTTTTTCAGATTTTATCCGTCGTGTAACAGGGGTGGGACAAAGAAAGAACTTATTTTCCCAAGAGGATTGTAACCCCAGACCTTTTTTATTCACCTTGACATGGACTGAGCAAAAGAATGCTTCGACTGAAAGAAGTCACCGACTATACTCCGGATTTCAATAAAATCATCGGCAATTTTAGTCACCGATTACGATCAGTTCGAGAGCCTGGTGGGTCAGAGAGAGAAAACAAAGTTTTTGAACTCGATGATGAACTTTGCTAATGGTCGTTTGGGTCTGTGGCGGAGATGTTGTTTGACAAAAGGTTTGGTTGTCTTGAAGAGGAAATCAACAAAGAGGCACAGACCTTCATTAAAGCCGTCGGAGATTTTCTGGCGAATGCGGTCGAGCTCAGTTTTTTCCTTCTTGGTTTTACAAGATCTACGTGAACCAGAAATTTATAAAGTTTTGCGAAAATTTTGACACGATGTAAGATTAAGCCGCACTATTTATCGGGAGAAGAGTCAAGGAACTTGAGAAGTCATGCAAGCCATCGAAGGAAACAGAGCGTGACCGAGCTGGCTTCTTCAAGTTCCTCCTGGCCGGCGGAAAGCTGACAAAAGATGACTGGTTGGCCAACGTAAGCGATGTTCTGTTTGCCGGAGTTAACACAACTACCTGAAGGCCTGGTTACGTGAGACCCTCCGCCTATATCCTGTTCTCTCCTCTATCCCGCGAAAACCGAAAGAAGACATAATATTAGGGGGCTACCATATCCCTGGGGTCACTGCTCAAGTGGAATTCCTTGTTCACCAGATAGGGCGAGATGAGAGTATTTTTGAAGATGCTGTTTAAACCAGAGAGATGATTGCAAAACAAAGGTACCGCTCTTATCGAATCAGCAGAAGCTTTCGCTTCTCTTCCATTTGGATTCGG